GGAAAGACGACTGCAGAAAACAACCTGTTATCCACAAACTTCCTTTAGTACATAAATAATCATTTACTGGTTGAACGTGTTAGTTTCATTGACAAAATGAAAACCGGATATCGGCTTTGTTGTTTAATTTGAGATGTCAACAGAACGGTTGTGCTACAAATTGGCATTTGTTTGCTGCTCGATAACAGAAATGTTTGGTCAAAATACTTCGGAAAAGTTTTATCAGGTGGTAAAAGTCTAAAATGCGGTGCGTCCTTAAAGTGTTTACTCGATGAAACGGTTTATAAATAAGAGAGCTATCGGTTAGTTTGAAGTCATCATATTCCTTTTTTTATGACCTTGAGTGGGTTAGTCACGTAACCCTAGTTACGAAGTTAAATGGGCTCAGATGAAGGGGATCGTGCTATTTTCGGTACAGTTTGTTGAGGAGATTGTCTGCATGCACGCACTATAAATATTAGGCATGTGGCGGTCTACCAGCACTCTACTGTCTTTCACTGCTTTTTATCTCTCATGCCATAAAATGTTGACCTTCGGGAGTTGATGGAAGTGGATCAAGCTTGTATGCTTTGCGGACCGACTTCGATTCAGTTCCAAAGCTGGAGAATCTAGCTTCTTGAGTAGTATTTGAAGGAGGTGTAGTATGCAGTGGCAATACCTATCATTCTTAACCAAATTGGTTTAACAATTTGATTGGGGTGATGAATGATAAATGGAAAGTGTATTATTTTAAGTGGCTGGGATTCACTATTATTAATTAAAATAAAGGGTTACTTATCGCAGTCAATACTGGTAATTCGTCATTCGGCGCCTATGTTTACAGACTGACAGACCTAGATGTGCTAAGAAGTTGCCCCTGTACTTTTGCATTGAAATTTTTGTTATTCTTAAGCGGCCCGCTATCCGCTAAGCGCTTCTAAAGCAAATGTCAATTGGTTTTCGGGCAAATATGTTTGATTTTTGCCTTGTACAATTTACTGAACTGTGAGGAATTTCGACTGAAGACTGTGTGGGAGGGAGAAACTGTCTCAGCCTCCGCGTTCCCCTGGTTCATTTGCCTCTATGCGATGCTTATCGTAATCTTCAGACACCGGTCAATCACTCGCTAAATTGAAGATACAGCTTGCAAAGGAAAGTTAAATAGGAACGGAAGCGTAAAGGGAAATGTCATGCTTCTAGAGATAAAACGCATCATTGAAATTGGGTCTGAGTCAACTTTTTTCTCGTTGGGAAATGATTTTTGGTGAATTTTCGGCCTCTTGGCGAAGGGAGACATGGTTAATAGGTGACCTCACCTCTTATCAGCATTGTTTACCAACTTAGGTTCAGTCTTTCAGATTAAAATAACCACTGAACACAGCATATTCCTTAAAACGGCAATAGCATTGTCTAGTCCATGACCCATCCCTAGATGTTCTCGCTTTACCATGTCACAAGCCCCCGAGAGAGCACTACAGCACCTATTTTAATAGGACAGAAAAGACCACCAATTCTCATAATAATGTTCTTGTTTTCGTGCATAAAATGTGGCTACAACCTTGACTACATTCGTTTTGAAATCAAATACGGGTTCCTTTTGAAGTCTCGTCGGGTTGGCTATGGACTGTTTTGTGATTTGGGGTAAATATTTATAGTTGCCATCTGTTCATTTAAAAACTCAAAATTTACTAACCATTCAACGTATCTGATTTTGCGAACAAAGGCGAAAAATTAACACAGAATTACTCTTCAAAAAGGGACGATGAGCATTTACTTCGACAGCAGCAAACCGTTCACTGCATTGCTCGGTGTAGGCAACGAAATTAAAGGTTATTTAGGTGTCAAGAAAATAAGGTAAACTGCAACTAATTTTAAATCTCTTTTAGCAAGACGTCAGGGGGCAGTGGCAGTAGCGCCAATAGTCAAGACGTCCAGAGGAGGGGATACTCTCTGTATCCTAAACATGAAGTCGTTTTGCCAAGTTTTCGTAGCATTTGCTCGGCCTGCCAGGCGCATCCAGCCCACTCCCTTCTCCCGACAAAGGGGTCTCAGGGCTACCCAAGCTTCCGTTTGGCTGCAAAGGCACAAAAAACTGGTACGAAAAGGGTAGAAAGCTTCCGAACACTGAATGGGTTAGCACGTCGCGACGTAAGCATGTGGCCCACAAGAATAAATGTATTGGTAAACTCTGATGCCTATTTCCTCACTTTTCTGCTAAAATTAACAGAGGATTTATGACGTTTCTATGCTTTTGTTGTGGTAGGAGTCAATGAGAATGCAGCGAAAAGGATTTTCGGGTCGGATTATTTGAGGCAAAAATCATCTGCCAAAATGGTTTCTTTTGACCGGTTGTAATATTTCTGCGCTGAATACAGAAATGTCAAGTTCCTAATTTCTGTTTTATTGAGAGTGTTAATGGAAAGTCACTTTGGTAGAGGCCTCGTTTTTTAGCTATAGTATGATAATCTGTTCTTAATTCAGCTGAATTTAGTCACCGGAGGTTAAAAAGACCCAAATGTGCTAGTTGTGGAAAAATAACAAGCAATCCTACTGTCGAAATTCTGTATCGAAATCCAGAAAATTCTTCTGACTTTAATAAAATATGGCCAATTAGTAATCCGATTGACATAAACTAGGTCAACAGGATATGGGATTATCAGGGTGGTATCTAATATGCCAATATACTATGCTTTGACCGAGTTTTTTAAATAAGCTGTGCACAAAAAGTGCCAACAAAGTCAGTAGGTTAAAAGGTGTGCAAGATCTTCCCATTTGTTTAGTTACTTCAATTCAAGCTTCTAAATTGATTGTCTTAACCAATTAATTCCTAATGCTTGTCAATGCGGTGTGAAGTATTATCTTTAAGTACTTCATTACTTTTTCAATGGATCGAATAACTTTGCTCATCGATATGGACTGCTTTTACGTCCAAGTGGAACAAAAAGTGCGTCCAGAAACAGTTGGGTTACCATGTGCCGTTATTCAATACACGAGCTTAGCGGCTGCCTCGTAATTTTTTGGTTTGTTGAGCTATTTCGTTATAGATTAATTGCCGTAAGTTACGAGGCTCGGGAGAAGGGAGTCACACGGAGCATGAATGGTGACGCAGCCAAAAACCAGTGCCCTGATCTGCTGCTATTTCAAGTCCCCATGCGACGTGGTAAAGCTGACTTGACTAAGTAATTTTACGTTTGGAAAGATGTTCATTGGATGTAGGTATCGTGATGCCAGTGCAGAAGTCATAAAGTCGATTTCTAAGTTTACTTCTAAAATTGAGCGGGCCAGCATCGATGAAGCCTACATTGATGCAACAGGCATAAATTTATTTTGCGTTTATTCGACGTATTTTAAGATTTGCTTTCTTCGGACACGTCTGAATCTGCGATCTCTCTTGAGAGGTCTAATGTGGTTATCGACCCCGATTCAATGAAGCATCTTTATGATCCTGGCGACTTGCCAAATCCCCCTTATAGCTGTTCAATCAACGAAATATCGGGGCAAATGGCTGCCATTGAATGTTTATGCGATGGCCGAAAGTTAAGACAGGCACTCTGTCTGGCTCAAAAAATCAAGGATCAGATTCTTGCAGACACTGGTTTCCGATGTTCGATTGGTGTGAGCTCAAACCGGGTATTTGACAATTCAAATATTCCCTACCAATTTCTTAGCAAAAAGTTTCATCGGCTTTATTTATTTTAGATGCTATCGAAGATAGCCTGTTCGCTGAACAAACCCGACAAAATAACTATCGTGCCGCTAGAGTCAGTTCAGCACTTGATGAATTTTACCAGGGTTAAGAAAGTGTAAGGTACACTTTTTCGCATAGTGGTTTGACTCTCTTTTAGCCCAGGATTAGGTGGAAAACTCGGAAAGGACTTAGCTCTTCGATTTAACCTCGAATTTATTGGTTCATTGACTGCCGTTCCCCTCCCAAGGTTAATTGAAGAATATGGTGAAAAAACCGGGTATGCTTCTGTTGCTGTTTAGATAAATGCATTCATTTTAAGCCGCTCTTGAAGTGCATTAATGTACTAATTGGTTCTTTGTGTCGCAGTGGTTTAACGTGATCAGAAAAGGGCCTATTATACTCTCTATCCTCGAGTTCACTCAGTAAAGGCTTCCTTCAAATATGTAGGAATTTTTCAACCCTTTGAATGGTTCAACTGATAAAACCACCTGAACAGTCCTTAATGCATAGTACAATCTTGGTGGGCGACGATTAAAATGTTCTTGTTTTTATTTGTCTACTTTTACTCATAAAGGTTGATGAGCTTGTTTGTTTCCCTTAATTTTTTTGATCCCTTCTTTGTCATTTAGGAGGAGGCTCTACACAGTTTTCTTGGGCTCTAACCATTCCTCATCCTTTTTGAACATTACCTTATATCCTTCCGGGTAGATTTTCATATCTCCCTGATGATCAGACTGGTGTGTAGAAACGTACTCAATGGCCAAAAATTTAAGTAAAGGCAATCCTACCCGATTCAACTTCGTGTCCCGATCTTTCTGTTTTTGGCCATTTAATGGCCAAGTAACCCAACTTTTCAGTTGGTCCATCAACAACCGGCCTTCCGTTTTTTTGAACCATTGAAGCTGATTTTTTCCCGGTGCTTTTTGATCATGCTTTCATACTGTATTAATTTGTTCCATCACGCGGACCCAATGCGAAGTTTCTAATGGGGTTTTGATAAAGCAGGCCTTTCCGTTTTAGCACCTGGCTGTACGAACTCTGTCGAGGACGAGATTACCAAGCAGTGAGTACTCGAACTCTGGTGAAATCCATCGCCTGCAGTAAGAACTTTCTTGGGAAATCTTCACTCAAAAAAGATGCCGAAATTCTCCATTGGTTGACCAACTTGGCTGGCGAAATTGTTGAAAGGGTCGCCATCGATCGAGCCAATCACAACCGCCTACCCACTGCTTTATCCCTTTTCCTGCGCTCGGATCAATCAGATACGAGGTCAAGAGCCCTGAGCCCTAATATACTGGCCTCTATCCTTCCGCGTTCTCAACAAATGGAGGAGGAGGAGACAGAGGCGCAGATTGCTAGAAGGATTGCTGAAATGGCTTATGGATCGGTGCGAAGCCTTATTGGGACAGCTGCCATCACAAATATTTCCTTGTCGGTGGGGAAGTTTAAATCGGACCACAGCGCGGCTTGCGGAGATGTTAAAAAATTCCTTACTGAACCACCAAAACTGGTTAAGAGGGAGTCTTTCTTCCGTCAATTTTTCGAAATTGGGAATCAGGCGGAGCCGTCCACGCCAAAAAAGGTGGCGTTTGAAGGCTCCCTCCACCAGGCTACCGAGCCGAAGGCTCAAGAGGAAACGAAGGCAAGCAAGGAACTAGTCTATTTTCAGCGTCACAACTCGACGGCAGAGAAGGTTTTGTGTGAGGAGTGCGGATCTTACGTGCTGGTGCACCTCATGCCGGAGCATAGGGACTTCCACTTCGCCAGAAGAGTTCAACAGGAGTGGAATAGGGAGGTGAATCGGACACTACAGCCTTTGCAGGTTAAAAAGGAGACTAGAACGATCCGCGAAACGAAAAGAGGACGTGGACGAGGAAAGAGGGATCTTGGACTTGCGAAAATCGACACCTTTTTTCTCAAGAGGGACTAATCAATTGTGTGTATTTGATTATGGCTGTGCTTTTGCTAATGAAATAATCTATGCAGATGCTTAAATAGCGTTGGTAGGGTGGCTGGGGTGATGATGGCAACGGGCAGTGGGGATGCCAAAACAGTATGGGTTGGGGTTTGCACCCCCCTCTGGAGCACGTGGTGTATGCAGGTACCAGGACCTTACATACTGATAGCTTCCCCCTAACAATACTTTAGGACGAGTAATACAGTGACTAATGAGGAATTTCACAAGTTGAAATATCAATAAATGCTAAAGTAAAAAATTCGAACCACAATAACGTTGAAATGGCATGTAGGATTCGACTTGTCAGCCTCTTAACAAAAAAGTCTCTCTAATATATTCATCCACTAACTGCACTTTTTCAGCTAAGGCTTGTTTATTAAAAGGCTTGCATTTCTGGATGTTAATTATTTTATGCAACCTTTCTAATACTTTAATTTTTCTTAAAATGTAGATTAGGCGTTTTGCTATTTTATCATCTTTACGTTGAGAGCCTTTAAATATGTATTAAATTAGAAATTAGTTTTACTGAGCAAACAAAACCAACCAATTGATAATAATTTGTTTATGTGCTCTTTAATGACCAGGCCGCGGTTTTTGGATTTGCTGATAATTGTCGCCTTTTTGCGGCGCAAAGATGACGGGAGATAGTCGGTCAGAGGTTAAAGAACTTGATGCTTGGATCGAACAGCTTTACAATTGTCAGCAGTTACCTGAGGCTCATGTGAAATCGTTATGCGATAAAGTAATTAGTCCATATTTCGAAATCATTTTGTAGGCAAAAGAAATCCTAACTAAGGAGTCTAATGTACAAAATGTTTCTAGTCCAGTCACCGTCTGCGGTGATGTGCATGGTCAATTTCACGACATGATGGAGCTATTCCGTATTGGGGGGAAAGCTCCGGATACCAACTACTTGTTTATGGGTGATTATGTCGATCGGGGTTATTGCTCCGTTGAGACGGTTACTCTCCTAGTCGCTCTAAAGGCATAAGTGTTCTGTAAAAGTGACGTTTTTATAGGTTCGTTTTCGTGATCGAATAACTGTTCTACGAGGGAACCATGAGAGTCGACAGATCACTCAAGTCTATGGTTTCTACGACGAGTGTCTGCGCAAATACGGGAATTCAAATGTTTGGAAATACTTTACGGATCTTTTTGACTATCTCCCTCTCACTGCTTTGGTCGACAACTCTGTACTTGTTCTATTTATCGGGTTTTATGAGATTTAGATCTTCTGCTTGCATGGTGGACTCTCGCCCTCGATTGATACGTTGGATCACATAAGGGCACTTGACCGCATTCAGGAAGTACCACATGAGGTATGATTTGTTCAAAACATGCATTCATTATCAATAGTTATCTTCGTTCTTATTTTCGTGTTAATTAAGTGCCACCAGATTGGGCGATAGTTTATTCAAACTTTGACCGTAGTCAGTAAGTTGTTGCTGTTTACCTATCTTAAAGCTGAAATAGTGTAAATTTACCGCACATTGGCGTATGGTTACGTTTTACCTTAAGTGTTTTGTTTTATGATCACTCGTAACTTTGTATTAGGTGGTGTAACCTTTTTTTGATTTGCGAATGTCGCTCCACATCTGAAGTGGCGATGCGTCATGTGAGGGATTTATTACTGTCCACCCGAGGTTAAAGCAATAGTCCTGTGCAACTTTTTGTATTCGGGAGGGCTGCATAATGCGCTTACGCTAGGTATCCCAACCACTGGAGAAATTAATTGCAGATTTTGCTTCAAAGTGGCACGCGTTCTCATCAGCGTGTGTGCACAACTGTGTCCGGGTGTAAAGATTGCCTTAGTTTATGCGGTAACTTTAGTATGCTCGGTTCACCAGATACCTCCCATTATTTCCTTACGCCCGAATCAACCGTGTTTAGGCATTAGTAATGAAAATTTCGCGAGATCTTTCGCGTACGCACAACTGTGAAATTTCGAAATTGAATCCTTTAGATGATAAACTGTATTCGTAAAGCCAACAATCTCGTATTTTATGGGTATCCGTTTACTGTCTGGACTGGAAGCATTATGTAATCTTGTTTATCACCTCCAGGGATGCGTTGTGCAATTCGATTGAAGGCCAGAAGCAATGATGTGGATTGCTAAATTTTGATATAGATGATGCGTGTATATGTCGACCTAATGAAGCTTAATAGTTGATATCGGCACTGTACAAACTTTGTTTCTGCTACCTTAGTTTCCTGACACTCGCCTCAATTATTACACCGCTTGAAACTACTCCAAGTTCCTTATTTAGCGGAGTAAGTGTTGAATACCTTTGCTGTGCCTACATACCCATCAGGAGCTAGAATTTTATGCCTGTCCTTGTTTTCTGTGTCCTGTAGCTGCTTGTTTAAATTGGCTAGGCTTGATGCAACCCGGCAAGTGTGCGAAAAGCTGTGCTAAATTCCGTCTAAAGATATCAATCGGTGATGAGTTATGGCCCTACATTTAAGGTTACCTTTTTTTACGCGGGTGAAAATCTAGCCCGTGATGTCGACATTGATGGCATAGCCTTTGTTTTCGGCTCTGATTACTGGAATTGCCTGAGTTCGATTCCAGCCAGAGGCATGCTTGTAAACGTGACTTTAACATATTCCATTGGATCTTTTCAAAGCGCGTATTTAGTCGTCCCAGTAGAAAAGGTTGACGCTACCGGACTTTTCTGCAGTGTAAAGCAGGGACATTGTACATTGTGTCAATGTAGCTTGCCTTCGTGATTTGATCATGAAGTCGTGGTTGTTGGACCTTTCAAAGTAATACTTTAGTCTAATCAAATATTATAAATACGCAGTTCGACGAGTAGAAATTGCCTCAAATGTGGCCTGTGTTCAGTGTCTCTGCGCCGTGCACATGGGAAGTTCAAACTCTATTCCATCCGCTGTAGAAGGGTTCAAGCATTTAGAGACATTCTCTAGATTGATGATTAAGGGTGACAATCAGGTCGACTCATTTCTGAACAGTCGATTTACAAGTCGTGGGGTTAAATTTCAAGTGGTTACTCTCCTTTGCGACTGTAAACTAACGTGACTAATGTCGTGTAATCTGCTTTTCATTTCGACACGGACACAAGCATTTGGCGTGCAAGTGCATCCTTTGTTTTTGTTTCCACCCCACAAACGGCTAGGGGTTGCACCACTTCAAGCCAATCAAGGCACGAAGTTAGTTTGTTTAAATAAACAGGTTTGTATCACCCTGGGGCTTGTATTCCCGTGTTTTAACCCATAACTAAGTTGTGTTTTCCAGAGTTAATGATAATTTGGATTCTGCTATTCATCCCGCTCACAAAAGCGGGGTCATTGTACGTTTAAATGTTCTAGACTTCTGGCTTAAACAATACAATTCTAGTTCGACATAGCCGGATATTGTGTTCAGCATGTGGAACTCTTGTATTGCTTTTCGTTTAGGGTCCGATGTGCGACCTTTTGTGGTCGGATCCGGATGACAGGGGTGGCTGGGGCATCAGTCCACGCGGTGCTGGCTACACCTTCGGTCAGGACATCTCGGAGCAGTTTAACCACAGCAACAGCCTCTCCCTGATCAGCCGCGCGCATCAATTGGTCATGGAGGGCTTTAATTGGTGCCACGAGCGAAATGTCGTCACGATCTTCAGTGCTCCCAACTACTGCTACCGATGTGGTAATCAGGCGGCCATTATGGAGTTGGACGACAATCTCAAATATACCTTGTAAGTTTCCCATCATTCACCACTTTGTCCCCTATCAGCTCTGTCACAACATTCGATTGTCTTTGTGGTTTCATTGGTATTTGCATTAGAACGGAAATGTTGCAGGCATCATGGTGAATTTATGATTTTTTTCTGTTCAATAATCGCTCCCACAGGCGTGTTGGTCTTACCGCGAATTTAGTTTATTAGACTTTACGCTTTTTCGTTACCAAAGTCTGTTTGCGCGCAAACAATCTCTAAAAGTCTGGGACAATGCTGACGTTTATTATCTTACTTATGACCAACTTCGTTCTTTAGGTAATTTTGTGAACCCTGCCATCTGAAATGTGATGTATGGGTTCTTTTCATCACCGCCCATTCGATATTTTCTGCGTGAGTATCGTCCCCATCCCTCCCATATCTAAGTAGGCTTTCGTCCGTTCTTGGCTAGTCGTCAGTTCTTCATTTTTAAGCGGCCCACGTGGTTCTTTGTCATCACTGACGTAGGTAAACATTCAAGCCAAACAGAGATGGGACCTTAATGGCCGGCACTTCCTGCTATTCATATATCTTTTTAAACCAGCCTTCGCAGTGCCTATTGTCGATCATTTTGGCGCATTGTTTGAGTTAATTGAATAAGGGACTTCTTTTGTGTCTTGGTACGAGGTGCTCGAAAAGTTAGCGTTGTGGTTTCCCGTGGATCACGCCTGTAGTGACATGATGTGGCAGCTTCTAGTGGCTCAATCGCCGCTTCTTATTGCATTCCATCCCGCTTTGAATCCCTTTGAACTGACCTGCTGCGATTCGACCTTGTTTGTTCTATAAGTTAGGCCTAAATGGGTTCCTAACCTGCAAAAGTTGGCATCCCTTCTAGATTATTATGGGGCCTTTCCTGGCGGGGTGCGGTTTGCGGTGGGGTGATGTACCTTCCGGGACTAAATAGCTTCTGCGACTTGATTGGAATGATTAAAGATACTCTCTAAGGTGAAGGTGCATCCTCCGCTTTTGATTAGAGTGGGGAGATGAGTGTTGCTGTCATTCCCCGATGACCTATACCCACGTCTCTTGGGGGTGTCACATGCCGCGTACCTTTTCTACATTTACTTGCTTCGCGTCATCGGGCTGCACATTTGGCAGTGGATTGCTTGCTGACTGACTTGTGATGTAAAACGGCTTTTGTGCTCGTGTTCCGACCCCCATATGCCGAGAGGTGGAACACGTCACTGGCTCTACTTTCAAACGATCCACCCGCTACCCACCCCACTCTTGGTTGGCAGCGCCAGTAGGCTAGGCAAAAGTTCTTTTTTGGTTTCCAAGAAAGACAATTTTCGTCATCCTCGTACCTAGAGTACCGGTGGGTAGTAGTCATGATTTTTTCTACAAACGAGGTATTTTTTTAGTCTTGTAGTTACATTTTTATTACCAGAAAACCACAATGTCTTTGTCACCTCTTTCGTTGTTGCGTATGACAAAACTGAGGTCACTCTGCCAATCCTACCAGCGATTTTTATTGCGTTCATCTTCCAAATTCTGGTCAATATGAATTCATTTTATTTACAAGAGATGCACAAAGCTTTTGTCGATTTCCCCTTGATCATTGACTTTTTTGGGACTGGGGTGGGGGGACTACCTGTCCTCACCATTTCCATCCTCAACTTCTTTGACCCAGTCAGTTGGTAATGGGTGCTGTCTGGTGTTCTGATTGATTTCAGCCTGCAATTTGACCCTGCACCAAGGCGCGGAGAGCCGCATGTGTCCCGCCGCACACCCGACTACTTCCTCTAAATCAGTCAGGCACCCGGCCATGCCAGTCGCACAGCCCGCTTCGAAGGCTGCGTCGCAGCCACCACACCTTATACCCCCCCACTCACTCTTTCCTTCACCTTCTCTCTCGCCGTCTTGGGCACAGCGGCTGGGTGCGTCTACGTTCGCGTGGTGAGGCGCATCCACTGTTAAAGGGGGCGGCCTGTCTCGTGTCCACTTTGGGCTCCCCCTTTCCCCCTCTCTTCTCCCATCCTTTTTTAGCTCAAAACCGACTCCTCCACTTTTTTCTCCCCGTGTTGATCGCGCGCGCGTTTCCTATCTCTGTGCTTCTCTCTCTCTCTCCCTCTCTTGTTCACCACTAACAAAATTTGAGTACGAATTTTCTCCCTTTCTCTTGTACGCTCGCTCGCACACACACCTACATTCATCAAATCTCTGGCTGACATGCAAATTCGATGTCGACTTTTTGGTCCCTTTGCGTGCGTGCCTGCCTACATGTGCGGTCTGGCTGTCGCTCTCTCGCGCTGGCTCTGCCTGACTCGCTTTTCATCACCCCCCCTCGATGGGTAACCGTTGCGGTGTTTGAAGTGGAATAACGAAAGTGAACATGAGACGACGTGGTGCTTATTGGTTGAGGTGTTGTGTGGAGGCAGCTCCCTCCCGCTCCGTGTACTACGTGGGTTCGTGGGGGCATTTCAAAGAAGTTGGAGATATGTGGGCGCGTTCTGAGAATTATTCGGTGATGCTCAAAATTGTTGTAACAGAGTGCTTCCGAGGTCTAGTATTCGAACGTGTGGTTTCAGTCGGGAAGCTCCTCCTCTCAGTCAGTTGGGAGGCGTCGGTGGGTGGTGCTGCGGTCGCCAGATTCCAGTCTGCTTTGTCTTTTTGAGGATTGGTTTTACGATTCGTGGAGACGGAGATTGGGGCACGCTAAGGTACCAACGAGATGTTGGATGGGTGCCTAGGGGGCTGTTTGACGGATCGCCATTTTGAGTTCTAGGAATGAGGCGGTCAGCAGAGGAGACGACTTTTCCATTGGGTTGGTGAACGTAATCCTCAGGGGGCATTTGCAACCCTGAGAAGTGGGGAATGAATATGGCTGGTCTGGGGCGATTCAATCTTACTTGGACGTGTGCACTTTCTCTCTGGGCGCTAGTCAGGCCCTGGAATAAGTGTGGATGCGATGGAGCTCCCACTTCCCGGGGTTTGTCCTTCGATGAATCCTGTGGTCCCACCTTGAGTTGAACACCTTAGGAGAAACTACTCTCCGGACTGGTGTGTTTACTCTACCGCAACGTTACTGCTCGTGCCTGACTGTGGAAATCCGCCCCTTTGACTTCCATCAGCCCAGACGTTGGTTAGTTCGAGCGTTGTGCAAAGGTGGTTGGGTAGAGAGTGCGCTTTGCGGTTGAACTTCGCCAGAATCTGGCTGCTGCTGAGGACTTCGTAGTCCAAATTGTGGGTCACTGGGGAAATCTCTCTGTCTGGCCTCATTATTATTCGGTGGTTAGCATCAAGTAGGCAGATCGGATGAGGTGGTAGTTGCAAATATGTACGCTTCCGGAGTCTGCATCGCTGGTGGGGGGTATTTTCGGACATCGGGTTCTGGAAGCTTGTGTCAAGGTCGGGTCCGGGGTGCCTACCTTATCAACTTCTCGGTTGTTGATTGCCTCAACCTCGGTTTGATCTTCAAGTAGTCGATTGATCGCTAGCAGTGCTCTTTAATTTCACGAGCTGCTGTCACAGGTCACGGAGGTGGCTCTGCCGACTTTTCCCGCACCTCTGGCTGTGTCAGCATTCAAAACACCCAGGGTGTCCACCTTTGCCTTGGAAAACGTGTACGCGGTCGGTTAGACTGCAAAAGCGAGGGTAGAGTGACGTCGCTTGCTCCTGATAAGTTTACTAGAGGGACGGGTGCCTTGCAAGAAGCTGTGGGCGCGGCGCTAAAACACGTGGTAGGCAGTGAAGTTCGACTGCTGCCTTTCTTCTTCCAACGTTGTCAAGGGAGGGGAGGAACTTGTAGTACACCCCACGGTCAATGACTTTAGACACCTCCCTGGGGGTCGTCCTTTTACGCTGTCCTTTTTGCCGAGTGCTATAGCAAATGGAGAGGAGTAATCAACTCCTCAATTGATCATTCCAAATGTGGTGCGCCAGACTGCTGAACGTCTCAACACTTCCTTGGTAGATTGGCATTTGGGTTTTGAAGGGATGAGGCTGGTCATCTGTTCGATCGGACATCTCATTCACAACACGATGTGGAGGTGTGACGAGTTGGAAACAGGTCCAAACCACTTTGCCTCTCTGGCTCTTGTCGTTCAAGAAGCAGTCCATCCGAAGTAAAAGTGACGCCTCTGTCAATGAATTACTTCTCTCCTTGAGGTAAAGTGTGCTTATTCGACATCTTGCATAACTGCATTTTCAATGTAATGGTTGTGCTAGCATATGGCGGCACGGTGAAGACCCTCTCGGTCCCTCTCCTTCATGCTGGTGATGAACCTTCTTCCATATTGATGTGGTCTGGTACACCTTCAGATAAGACTGGAGCTGCTGCGTTCGCGGCAGTGACAAGCGGACCTGGATTCGGATGAAAGAACAATTTAAATTCCCTTGAATGCCGTGGATAGGTGAATCCTTTATCGCCAGAGGAACCTACGGAAAGGTTGAAACGCTGTCGGCTTGTGGCAAATCCACAACAACTTTGATTTCTCCAAGTTGGTCTTGAGTCAAAGAAAGACCCCAAAGAGAGGCTCGCTATGCTTCCACTGGACGATTTACCACCAAGTGTTGCCACAGAATACGAGTGACGCAAAGAATACGCTAACTGTGGACGATCTTCTAGCCTTTACCCCAATCTCCCGGATAACTTTGTCACGGCAAGGTCGCGATATTCAGAAATCTCGACCAAGTATACAACATGTTCAACCATTAATCAATGCAGTTCACAGAAGTACTCCGCAGCCGAGACGCAGTGGTGGGTAAGAGACGACCTTCAATGGAAGGAGAGGAACCTTGTGAACATTTGCTATATGTCCTCCTAAGACGTCAAGGAGGGCTTAAGTCACTACAGTGCATCGTCAAGTTGGAAAGAATATCCAGACGTCCTCTCTAAATACGTCACTGCTCAATGCCTCG